CCGCTGGGCCACGAGGGCCGGCACGGGGACCCAGCCCGCGGCGCGTGGCGACGTCGCTGGCCACGCTGCAGGAGCAGGCGGCGGCGGGCGAGGCGGAGCTGCTGGCGCGCCTGCGCGAGCAGGCGTCCGAGCTGGCGTCCTCACGCGCACGAGAGGCGGCGTTGGCCGCGCAGGTGGAGGCGCAGGCTGCCACCATCCGCGAGAACGGGGAGCTGGTAGAGGAGGGGCGCCAGCGCGTGCTGCAGGTGCTGGACAGCCTGAGCCGCGAGGGGCAGGCGCTGGAGTCGCAGCGTGCGGCGCAGGCCGTGGAGCTGGAGGGCCTGCGCGCCGCGCACGCCGCGGCGCAGGCCGAGCTGGAGGCCCAGCGCGCCACGAACGAGCGCCTGGCCGCCGAGGCGGCGGCTCTGCGGGGCGGCGCCGCACGGGGCGGGGCCGGCCGGCGCCCCCCCGCCGACGCTGGGACGCAGACGGAGGCGGGGGCGGGGGAGGGCGCGGCGGAGGTTGGGAGCGAGGCCGCGCCCGTCGATCAGGACGCGCGCGTCGCGCGGCTGGAGTCCGAGCTGGCGGACAGCCGCGTGCGCGCGGTGTCGCTGGCGGCCGCTCTGGAGGGTGTGCGCGGCGAGCGCTCCGCGCTGGCGCGCAGCCTGGACGATGTCTGCGCGCGCGCCGAGCGCCTGGCGCGCGAGGTGGAGCGCCTGCGTGGGGCCCGCGGCGAGGGTGAGGACGGCGCGGCGCTGGACGCCGGCCACGACGACGTCAAGGCGGCGGGGGTCGCCGGGGGGCCGGGCGAGGTCGACGTGGACTCGGCCGGCTCCGACGGGCCGGCCCCGACGACCAGCGACGCGCCCGCAACGCCGCCGCCGTCGACGTCGGCGCGGCCCTCCTGGCGGCGCTCGCAGGCCGGCGGCGCCGCGCCCGGCACGCTCGGGCACGACCGCTCGGCGACCTCCCCGCCCACCTCCCCCCTGCCCCTGCGCTCCGACGACAGCGCGCGCCTGGCCTTGCTGCTGGAGGCCCGCGACGCGGAGGTGCGGCGCCTGCTGGCGGTGATTGAGGTGCTGCGCGGCGAGGTGGGCGGCGTGCCCCTGCCCCGCGCCGAGGCAGTGGCGGTGCGTGACTCGCTGGCCGAGAAGCTGGCGGAGCAGGCGTCGAGCCACGAGGCGCTGCTGGCGGCGTACGCGGACCTTCAGTCGCGCGTCAAGGCGCTGAGCGTGGAGCTGGACGCGGCGCGCGAGGCGGCCGCGCGCGGCGCGGGCGCGCTGGCCGCCGAGGCGACGCGCTCCGCGGCGCTGGCCCGCGACCTGGTGCGCGCGCGAGAGGATGCGCGCCCTGTGCAGCTGATGCTGGTGCACGTGCGCGAGACACCGCAGGAAGCGCTGGCCTCCTCGCCACGCGAGCTGGCCTGGTTGCAGATCGAGTGCCAGCGCCTGGGCGAGGAGAACGAGGCCCTGGCCGCCGCCGCGGAGGCCATGCAGGAGGAGCTGAGGGCCAGCGCCGCACTGCTGCGCCACTCCAACCCCAACCAGAAGATCCAGTACACCCAGCGCCTGAAGCTGGAGCTGGAGGCGCTGCGCAAGGAGTGCGCCGCCGTCACCCGCGAACGCTTTACCCTGGAGCAGTGCATCAGGTGAGTGAATTTTGTGAGTGAATTTTGTGAGGGTGTGGGGGGGGAAATGGGAGGAGGAGAGTGGGCTGCTGGGGGAAGAGGCTGAGGAACAAGGCCAGGCCATGGGGCGTTTCTGTCCCGCTTCTGTACGTACCAGATTCCTAGCCCTGCACCAAACTGGCCAGCCAGCCTCTCCTGGGTCCCAGGTGCTCAGCACGACCCAGTCCCCCTTCTCCCCCCCCCGAAATAATAGGTACCTCGCGGTCCTGGCTGGGCACACGGAGGCGGCGCACCTGTCCCAGGATGCCACGGGCCTGCAGCCCAGAGTGGCGGCGGCCGCCATCCTGCCAAAGTCTCTGGCCGGCGAGCAGCGCTTCTCCGTCGGCCTCATCAGCGCCCGCCAGTTCCAGGTGCGGATGCCGGGATGGGGCGGCGAGTGGTTTCGATTTCGAGAGAGGAGTGCCATGGCCCGGGGATGCAGTGTCCCGGGGTGATGCCGATGTGTGCATCCCCTGCGTCCATGGCCATCCTTGCCGCTGCGCTGCAGGGCGGCACGGAAGCCCCGGAGCCGCTGAGTCCGCGGGTCCTGGCCCGCGAGTCGAGCGACGTGAGCGACCTGGGCCTCACCCCGAGGTCCGGCACCGGCACAGCCGGCGGGGAGAGGGAGACGGTGGAGGTGCGCATCCTGCGCCACATCTCCCGCGTGTGTGGGGCTACGAAGCTGGTCACCCCCCAGCCGCCCAGCGAGGAGGAGGAGGAGGCGGGCGAGGAGGGCGAGGCGGCGCCGGAGGCTGAGGAGGAGGGACTGGTCACCCCCACCCCAGCCATGGAGTGAGACACCCGTGCCCATCCTATTCGCAGCTTTTATACAACAGCCTGCGCGTCAGCCCACGGCGCCTCGCGAAGAGTGCAGGAAGCATTTCCTGTGTACATCCATCCCTCAATGATTCGCCACATTTTCTGAACTGATGATTCCTGCCTGCGACCCCACTCATTTGCCTGTAACCCATGGTAGCCGACCGGGGAGCACCTCGTGCAGGACAGGATCGCCTCGCCTCTGGGTCAACCAGCCTGGGGTTGCTGGGGCACCAGGTACAGACCCCCCGAAACGGCACCGCGTACAGGCCGGCAACCGATTTGCACTTCGCACTGCGCACCAAATCGTACAACTCAAAGCACTTGAGCCGAGTATGCCTCGTGAACCCGCTCAGGGTCCCGACTGGCGTCCCTAGGTGTCGACATGCGGAGATGGCGGACCCGCTGGTGGGTGGCTGTCTTCCTCTGCATCGCCCCTCGTTGCTCCTGGGGAACCGTCATATCCTCGGGCACTCTGACATCGTGCGTCAGCAATGGCTCGGTGGGTCTGAGTGGTCCCGATGGGGCTGGGCGACAGCAGTAAGGTTACCGCCCATGTCAAGGGCTCGTCCCCATGTCAGCAGCCAGCAACAACTTGCAGCAAGACCCTCCTTCCTCCATGCTGCAGACAGACAGTACTGAGCTCTCCTGCTCCAAGAAGATCCTGGTGACCCTCACACTGGCCAACAACAAGCTGTATGCCTCTGATGAGCTGCAGTTCACCCTCTCCTGCGTGAACAGGTACGCAATGGAGGCCTGGCCTGAGGGGATGGCTAGGCCATGCAGATGAACATATGCCCACCTCCGAACCCTCCACACCCTTGTAAGTCACAGTCTTCCCCTCTGTCTTCCACGCCGCCCGACCTTCTCGCCACACCCTCACCCAACCACATAGTGCCACTGGAGTCTGTCCCTGCCCGTGCGACTACGCCACCGACGCCACCTGCACCTGCCGCGACCTGGCCCGCAACATGACCATCTCCATGACCAAGGGCGCGGTGTATGCGCTCTACCCGCTCACCTTCAGCAGGCGGTACCAGGGCGCGCCGACGGAGACCATCGTGACCACGACGGTGGAGAACTGTAACGACGAGTATGGGGCAGTGGCTCCCACCTGCGGCTGGGCGACCCTCAACGGCGTCAATGTCCTGTGCGCTGGAGATTGCTCCAGGGGGGAAGGGGAGGAAGATGGGGGTTTTTGAGCCGGGCCGCCACGCTTGGCTGTTCTGGATCGCTGCACCAAAGTATGGGCATCACGTCAGGGTTGGGTATTCAAACGGGACCTGAACCCCACTGCCTCCATCGCACTCCCCACGTGGTGCAGGGACTCGCAAGGCTTCTGCTGTGAGTGCACACTGGTCAACGGATACTGGACCAACTACATGCGCGGCAGTCTGTACTGCCCCGCTGCCGCAGGCAAGTCTCCGTCCCAGTACCTCGCCTCCGCGCACTGCCTACGCTTCAACGACGACTGGTGGTTTGTGGTGAGACGGTCGAGACTTGGAGGGGGTGCGTCACGGACTTGTAGCAGGCGAGGAGCCGCCGCGGCGGCATCAGACCCTGTCACATCACCCCCTGGGGCATGCGTGGCGGGAGGTGGTGGCATCCTCGGAGAGAGGAAAATCGACAGCGGCCCAGGGTGCCCCATCCCACGCCGCACTCCTCCTACACAGGGGTACGTGGTGGGCAACTACCAGATGGACTTCAACATCGCCTTCAACGTGACGACCACCAAGACCGGCGGCACCAACGCCACCAGCGAGACCCTGACCGTGAACCCCTCCGTCCCCATTGTGCGCTCGGCCGACAAGACTGTGACGGCCAGCCTGCTGGGGGACCTGGCATCCTACTCCCAGATCCCCAACCTGGCAAACCACTACCTGATGGTCATCCTGGACAGCCTGAGCGACACCCCCTCCGTCGCCTTTTCCAAGAACAAGGAGACCTGGATGCTGCTGGATCCAGCGCTGGTGGACCCTGCGGGTCTCACCTGCGACAAGGTTGGCATCACCTACTCGTGAGTGCCGATACCATGAGGCGGGGGACAGGGGCCGGCATGGTCTAGACACCGTGAGGTCCCTGGCATGGCTGCTGATGTGGGACCTTGATCCTCAGGAGGGAGCAGAGGGTGCTGCCTTCCTCTCAAAGCCGCCACCCCCCGCGCTCACAGAGGCTTCCGGGTGAACCTGGCGGATAAGTGCAACATCCCAAATGGGTACTGCCTGCGCAACCAGCTGGTGGACCTGTACTACGCCGACGTGGAGAGGATCAACGCAGGTCACGACCCACTATACTTTGTGACAAAGTACAGTGGTGGCGTGCAAAACGAGCGCCAGGTGCGGAGGAGTAGGTGGAGCCTGGGCTGTGTGATACAAGTGCACGCCTATCATATGGTTTGTGCCTTCGCCCTGAGCAGCAGAGGGAAGGGCGGCACGGTTCCTGTTCGAGAAACCACGTCCCCGCATCGCCATGCAGATGACATACAGCCTGAGCTCCTCTGGGAAGACGACATTTGTACTGAACCTGCCCGTGCCCTCCCTGACCCAGAGCCTGGTCACGCTGGCTGTATCTGCTGACAGCGTGCAGTTTGTGTCCAACACCTCGCCGGCTAAGATCCAGAGCACCCAGGTGCGGAAGGTGTTTCAGGGGTGGAGTCAGAGACTGGCTCCAGGCACCGAGGATGTCCATCAAGCGAGCTGATGCGTCAGACAACAGGGGCCTCGCTCCTCGTCCACACTTCTGATGGCGTCCCCCCGTCCCATTGCAGCTCTGCACGCTGTATGACGTGCAGTGTGGGACCTTTGAGTCCCTCGAGGGGTCTGGCTACCTCACTGTGACGGTGAGTGACGGCCGAGGGCTGAGGGGCCTCGGGGGGCTCCCCAAACTCGTGGTGGTTTGCTCAACATTGACAAGGCTTTGTCAAACCAAACCCTGAAACCCAATCGCTGCACAGCTGGAGAATACGGGAACCCTGACTGCCGACTACTACGTCAGCCTGACGAGCTGCAGCGACAACGTGGTGAAAGCCCTGGTACGCCTGTTCTGAGGCTGGGCGAGGTCCTACTCTTGCCTTGGATTGTCTCAGGCTGTCCAGCAGCCACCATACTCGAATGAGCACAGGTCCAGTCGAGTCAGTCTCTCGCTCCATTTCCCTGCCTGCCCAGGCCCAGTATGCCACGATCAAGGCTGGCGCAAAGTACAACTTTGTTTTCACCATCACCATGGCCACCGACCAGGCCACGTCCTCCACCTGCTCTGTGGAGGTGAGGGACTCCCAGGGCGACCTCCTGGACAGCACCGCCGTCACATGGGCCACCCTCGGCACGGACTACGGCCAAGAACCACAGGAAGGAACCGCCTCGCCTCCGGTGGGCGACGCCGGGAGCCATTGGTGCTGGGCCTTGGCCTTGCCATGAGGATGGGAAGCATGGAAGTGGTGGTCGGTCTGAATTATTAGCCCATGTCAAGCGTCGAGTGTATGCACCACCCATACATTTGTGTGAAGGACCGACAACAGCCGCACCAGCTTCAGCCAGTTCCTGTGCGTCCCTCACGCAGTATTATGACGACTCCACCATTGCCACATCCTTCTCTGGCTGCAACAAAGTGTGCGGCACCGTCTTGTCCCTCAAGTGCCTCGTCAAGTACTCGTGCTGGTACAACCTTGCCGCGGTGGGTGGGTGTGGATGTGCTGAGGGGAGGGTGTTGCATGCATGTGACTCCTGAACACAAGCTCAGGAGGGGCGAGGGATGCCGGTGGGCAGCCGCGAGCTCCGCCAGCCAGTGTACAGACTACAACCCGGAGCAGACTCCCCTGCAGCGTGTCACCCCAGCACCACCTTTGTCCCTGGTGCAACCAACTTTGCAGGGCCTTGGCTCTGCTTCGGCCGCAGGCCTCGCCATAATCGCTCTGATATGGGCTGCCAAGCAAGGCTACATCGTTCCAATCCTGGGAATGGTCCTCCGTCTGCTCTGCTGCAGCGGCCCCTCGTCGCACCGCAGCAAGGCAAAGAAGGTCGCGCCTGCGCAGCCCCCTTCTCCCCCCAAAGCCGACGCCACAGTCACACTCGATGCCGGTGCGGCGTCCAAGACCTCGCTGCCGCCAGCAGGCCCCACAGCTGCAGCTGACAGTGGAGCTCTCCTGGGAACTGGGCCGCCGCCACCCGGCTTCAAGCGGCTCAGCTCCCTCCGAAAATCCTGGCTGTGGCCAGGCAGGTTCATGCCAGGCGGTGCGGGACCACCTGTCATGCCCACCGACAGCATGTACGACCAGGCGTCGCTGCCACATCATCCACAGGTGGGGGCACAGGATTGAGCTCGAGGTTCGACGTTCTGACGGGTTTTGCACAGCTTTGAGTGATCGAGGAGAGGTGGTGGTAGGGGACTGAGCTGCCCAGTGCCTCGCGGCCGTACTCATTCGACCTCTGTGCGGATGCCCCATTGCTGCAGAGCATTCCGGCCCCCTGGGCCCCTTCCAGTGAAACAGGGGTGCCCCAGTATGGCCCTTTGGGTTCTTCCCACGTGGTAGCACTGGCAGGCTACGACCCATCGCAAGCACACCATTCCTTTCCCCAGGCTGGCATCCTTCACTCTGGGGCACCATTTTCAAGTCCTGTAGCCCTGGGCGCTCATTACAGCACGCCCAGCACCCCTTGGCAGCACCAAGCAGCCGAGGTAGGCTCCCCTCCTAGCCTGGTCATGGGCATGCCCACCGTGAAGGCTGGGGCCCCTCAAGGGTGGCACCTCCCACCGCCGCCTCAATCCTCACATGCCCAGGATTGGAATGGGGCGGCCGGCGGAGCGACTCAGATGCGATGGGGCACAGGAGAGCCCTGGGTGCCCCAGCAGGCCTCGCCGGAGCAGTCGTCGCAGCCTGGCTGTCATCGGCCATGGGAATCACCACCTGCTCAAACAGCAAGGTGGAGCCATCAGCCGACCTCCCAACAAAGCATGCCGGCCCCCCACCCTAATCCAAGCCATGGATCTCAGTGGGGTTGAATGCACTGCCATTTAAGATTCTGCTTGAGGTGGTGATGGTGTTTCTCTCTTGATTGGCTGCATGCTCGCCGATCTGATCCCCATGCCGTGGCAGACCTGGCGTCTGTATTGTTCGTGCTGCTCGTCCACCATTTGCAAACAGCATGGTGATCACATGCACATCGTCTTGATCGCAACCTTTGCTCCGTGAGTCACGGCAGAACTCTATGGGGCACACCCTTTGGGAACAATACGCTTGGAAGTCTCGCTTGACCTGTGCACCGATGCGTACAATTTCCCCAGGTCACACAGACGCGAACCCTTACAGTTTGAAGCTGGCAAGTCTAGTATGTTCACAGAGGATGGGACGCAATACATGCTCCAGTCAATCGCATGAGATTAATGGAGATGGAATGATCCTGAATGGGGGCTGGTTGGGGAATACATACATGCAAACAAACACGTTTCTCTGTGTGTTGAAACATCCTCGGCATTATCCAGGCACTCTAAACCGTGTCTCCAGATTCTTCAGCGCAGGAACCTGCTTTAATATCCTGGCCAAATTTCTGAGCCATGAAGCTACATTACAAACCCTATAATTGTTTACCTTTGAGTCAGGCTGCAGGTGCATGGGTACTCATTGCCCCAACCCAGTCAATCCTTGAATGGCGATAACACCGCCACCTATATTGCGAGAGTGTTCTTTACGTAAGTTCTGGAACCTCTCGCAGGCACAAGTTTAGATGGTCCAGATACTTGCTATGTAAGGAATCGGGCGCGCGATCATGTGGACTCGGACCAACTCCCCCCAGCTGCGCAGTTACAAACCCCCACTTAGCAATGCATCGTCGATAAAGACCCGCAATAAGCGAATCCAGGCATCCTTTGCTGATGAGATAACCGCCGCTTGTCGAGTTGCAAGCCCAGCCTGTAGGCAGCTCTCGGAATGGGTGGGTGTGTTTCCACTCTTGAATCTGCGGGACAGGCCACCAATCATGCACTGCCTGCCAGCAACGACTACGAGCTGGTATGAGGGGGGAGTGGCGGGAGATACATCTACAGTTCCCATTTGTCGATTATCTCAACGTACAACAATTTGCTGCTGCCGCAGGTATGCCGCTCAAGTAAGGAACTCGAACACGGTACGTGTGCGATGCTCAGGCAATCGATTCCAAAACAAAAAAGTTCCGTTTAAGCAGAATGCTGCCCTATCTGCTCACATCTGCAAGCCGTGCACCACTGCAGTTCTGACTGTGGGGTTTGGAGCGCAGGGCAAGGGCCTTCATGAGAAGGCCACGTATGTGGAACAGTACCTCTCACCCGTGAGTTAGCAAGCACGGTTTGTTGCAGACATTGAGTTTGTGATATTGTCATCCTTGGACCCTGTCAAGTTTGCCTTTCTGCTTGTGCATTTGAATATCTGAGAACACCTTGCACCACCCTTCAACCTGCAGGATCTAATCCGCAAGATCCGCTACTTGTGAGTGAATGGGGGGCAGAGCAGAAAGGGGATGGTGTGGCTGTCAAGACTCGCACGTCGACCGCTTGCATATCAATTGGCGAAGGGGTTGTTGAGTTTTGTCGGCAAAGCATCCCTCCGTGGTCCATTGCAGGGCCACAATCCGCAATAAACTGGTGGGATGTGGAGGAAGCTCTGATGCTGATACTTTAGAGACTGGACGAATGGCAGGCTAGGCTCTAGATCGTGATATTGAAGCTTTGAACATGCTGTTATGCCATGTGTGTCTGTCTTGTTGTCTGCTGATCCCTCGATCTCAACCCCCCTTCTGCCAGGTCCATGAGTATGACTTCAACTCCATTCCCAACCGCCAGCAGTTTCTGAACAACTTTCATATTGCACAGTCTGAGCTACAGGCTGCCCTGAGGCAGCATGGCCGCATCCAGAACGTGCCACAGCCGTCCTCGCAATTCTGTCGCGTCCAGTGAGTGCTTGGAAGGTTTTTCGCTGGATTGTCGGAGACTCGGCACCCCCTCGTCGGTCTCCCTGAAGCCTGTGCTGCATCCGGAACACACACACCAAGTCCCATGGCCTGTGGTTGGCCCGACTCTCCTGTCAGTTTACCATGCAAGGCACCCTACTTCCCCCTGCTGATATCTACCTCGCACTGAAATCACCGCTTGGACTTCAAGTTTGCCGCTGTCTTGCATTGCGATGTCACAGCGGAACCTACTGTAGAAGGTCAGCGTACTGTGGTGGTGCATCATACCATACGAGCAGGGCGTAACGCGGCGGTCAGTCCTGAGCGGTGCATGCACACGCCTGAGTAGTCATGCCCTGCGGTTAAACCACCCCTGCGCAGAGCCCACAAGGCGCTGCAGGACGGGCACCCGCTGCAGGATGGGCGCAGCCCTCTGGTTCAGCGCCAGCCAGACCTGGCCAGGGGTGGGAGATGGGTGCACGGCATGTGAGGTGGAAGTGGTGGAGCGATTGGCTGGGCCTCAACACAGTGCACATCCATGTGCTCTCCGGGTATGCAGCCACCTGGCAGGCTATTCATGGTGTCGCATGGGGGCCTCCACCCACCCTGCCAACCTCCGCCACAACAGCCACCTTCATTCGCCCCCCTCCCCCTCAGCCCACCTGCTTGTGGTAGTGCCCCGAGTGGCCAGACTGGTAGCGCAGCTTGAGCTGGTTCCAGATGACAAAGGCGGTGCCAGCGCCGCGGAGGCCGAGTTGCACCACGGACAGGAGGGTGGTGAAGCCCAGCCCCACCTCCCCCGCGGCGGCCGCGGTGCGCAGGAGCTCCAGGCGGGGCTCGACCAGCGCGTGCACGCGGCCGAAGCTGGCCTGGTACCAGCGCTTGGTGCCGAAGGTGTGGTGGGAGGCGGCGTCGGCGTGGAGCAGGGCGTGGATGGCCAGGGGGAGCACCCCCACGCCCAGGTGCCGGTTGCTGGAAAGGATGACGGAGAGCAGGGTGGGGAAGAAGACCGCGCTGCCTGTGCGAGGGCGGAGAGGGGACGTCGGGGGTGCATGGAGCTGTGCTGGCTGGGGGAGGTACGCTCGCCGCTGCACAGGCAGCTCCGGCCCACACACGGGGCCGTACCAGAGATTGCCGTCATCCAGGGCATGATGGCCGCGGGGAAGGGGGACAGGCTGGGAGTCCCGTGCTGAAGGCACAGCTGCGGGCGGGTGGGTGGACGGAGCATGCTGAGCAGCAGCTACCGATGAGATGGCTGGGGTCAGCAGGTTGCAGCTCCCACAGGTCAGCGCACCAGGCTCCACCAGCGTGCGCCCGGGACAGGGGAACGGCCCCCGCGAGCCGATCACACCTTGAGGCCGTTGGTGAGGAGCGAGAGCTGGCACGTGAGCGTGAAGGCAGAGTGTGCGAGCCGTGGCAGGAAGGGCTGGAGGGAGAGGATGGCCATGAGGACGAGTGCCCACTCGCCAGCAATGATGTACACCTCGGAGCGGGTGGGGAGCCCAGGGGGACCGGGGCGAGCAGTGGCAGCCTGTGCGTTTGCCGGCTTCTCGGCCGCCGGCCCGGCCGTCGCGCTGGCGGCGGCCTGGGATGCCGCATCAGCGGCAGGCACGGCAGGCTTGGCCACGCTGCTGGGCTCGAAGTCTGGATCCTGCGGAGCAGGAAGAGGATGCCATGTGAGCTGAGGACCAGGAGGAGCGTACGTGGCCGCATGGCGCCGCACCCACTCTCACGATTTCGCGCTTGTAGTACTTGGCCTTCAGCTTGAGCAGGGCGTCCTCGGATCCGGAAGGGATCTCGACGCGAGACAGGTACGCCTTCCAGGTCTCATCTCCTTCGAAATCGTACTGTCTGTGGGCGGGGAGAGCTGGTGCATGGAGCGATCACACAGGCAGAGTTGCGAAGCCATCACCCGCGCTCCCTTGATCAGCAGAGACCCCTCACGCACCTGAATGCCTCAAGGGACGCCATCTTGGAAGAATCGATTTGATTAATTCCGTGCGTGATGAGTGTGTCATCAGGTACCTCACATCGCAGCGGCTGCCAGGACCTGTCTCCTGCACCTGCCTGGTACCTCCCGAGCGCGCGAATCGGCGCTCGGGATCGATATTCGACCTCTACACGTCGATCACACACCCTCACACTCTACATGCTCGAGCTGAAGCCCGTGTATACAACAACAATGCCCAAACTCACCTAGTATGCTTAGTGCCAAGCCGATATGGCTTCCCAACCCTCACAGGTTTGGCTTCCCAACCTGGGAATTTGGGCCGCTTCACACTTGGCAGATCCCTGCAAGACCGAGCCGCCTGCACGCACAATTGACGTCGTCGACTTGACACTGGACGACGATAATGTCGAGACTGCAGCTCATGGCAGTCCAGCATGTTGCATATGTGCGTGGGATGGCTGAAGGGGCATGCGTGACTCGCCACCTTTTGCTGGCCTCCTTCCGGAAGCCAGCGTTGCGACCCCCCTTGCTCGGCCTCGATGCAGGCCTGGAAGTGTACGGGGCGGAAGACAAGGCCGAGGTGCGTCCATGTCATCACACATTCTGCTCCTCGTGCATCTTGCAATGGCTGGAGCTGCAGCGGAGATGCCCCCTCTGCAACCAGACCATCACCAAAGGTGCCCCAGGAGGGTCCGCCAGTCCTACGCATGCGGGTGTCCCTGAAACAGGCAAGATCCTTCCTCACACTCTCAATCTGGTTCCAAGCCTGAAGTGCCCCATCGTTGCCCCCCGCTGCAGTCGCTTCCAAGTTCGTGGGTTCCAAGCCACAGACACTCTCAGTGCTGGCGCCACCCCCCAGCGAGGAGCGGAGCGTGCCCGGACTCCCTGCTGTGCTGGAAGATAGCGCCCCACTGCTCCAGAGGCTGCATGCCTTCTTCGAGCACGAGCGGTACAGCCTGGGGCGCAGAACCACCCCCGCCCCGCCGCCCCGCCCCCGATGGGGACCAGGCAGCGTTGGGCATGCACGCCGCCAGCCGCCGCCCCCCGCCGCGGGGCCCAGCCCCTACTTCCAGCGCCTGCAGCGCCATGCCAGGAGCATGCGTCAGCCTGCCACGCCGGCAGCGCCCGGCCCTCCACCTGCGGCCGGCACAGCCGAGGAGATTCTTGGCTGGCGCCGGGCGGTGTACGCCGAGGGGACCTGGACCCGCATCCAGTGGCCGCTCCAAGAGCGGGGAGTCGAGCCTCGTCGTTCGAGGGCCGAGCTGCGAGCCTGGGTGCTGAGGGAGCTGCAGGTCCTGCTGCCGGGCGTGGACTGCACCCTCATCCTCACCCTGGTGCTGGCCCTGTTCGGCACCCCCGGGCCCCATGCGGATGCCATCCGGGCTCTGGACTGTTTCTTGGGCACCAGGACGGCCCACTTCTGGCATGAACTCAGGTGGGTTTGGGGAGGTTTGGGGACTGTATTGCTGAAGGGGGCGGGGGAGTGGGTCGCTTTTTGGGGCGAGGATTTTCATTACCGGTGTCTGCAGGACAAGGGTGCGCCGCAGAGCTCTCTACGTCCTATGGCCGTCCCTTGCGTCCAGGGTTCTTTCGGCCTCGCCCCTGTCCCTGCCGGCGCACGATCATGCGTTGCGCGCCGCCCGAACCGGTGCCCTGGTGTCAGAAGGAGGAGGGGAGAGTGGGGAAAGGTACGCCGCTCCCCAAGTCGGTGAGGCACGCTCAAGACTTGCTGGCAGGCCTTTGGCCCAGACGACGGAAGCTGGAGCAGGACTATCCGACTCAGGAAGGCTGGAGGATGCACCCAGTCAATCTGGTGGCGCGGCGGGCAGGCTTGAAGAGGGCAGGCGTGCAGAATGCGAGGCCCTCCCGCCACAGGCACATCGCGGAGTGGGACGACGGAGACTGCGGAGATGGGATGTCAGCCCTGGGCAGCACGTAGCCATGGAGAGGAGCAAGGAGCAGCGGTTGGGTGGAGACAGAGAGCTGCGAGAGCATGAGGACCATAGAAGACGAAGGAGATCGCGTTCAACCTCCAGGCGACGAGATTCACGAGAAGGGAGACCCTGCCACAGCTCAACATCAGAAAGGCATGCCCAGCAGGGGTCGTGGCGCAGCACTCGACCGCAACAGCTGCCTGCCCACGGGCCTGGAGGTGTTTCTTCCACCTCGCGCGCTGCTGGATACCATGATCCAGAGGATCGGTGGCAGATGCAAGGCATGTCTAGCACAGGCAGGGACTGGAGATGACGATGCCTTTGCCTTCTTACCTTGATCTTGTATTAAGCACTGGAGGAGCAGTGTGCCTGCAGTTTGTACAATTTATGAATGGGAGCTGTTCTCAGAAAGGCTTGTGTTGGAGCCCGAATCCAGGGTTTCGATTCCTGCGGACCCCGCTGGAACCTCCCGACCGACATGCCGACAGCTGATCTCTGATGGTTCTGGAGGGCATGTAAACTCGCTCCCCAGCTGACCACAAGACATGTTTGTCCAAGAATAGGAACTATATATTTTGAAGGATTCCCTGGGGGGTTCCCCATGCGGACGGTACTGGTCACAGGTGGCACCGGATACCTGGGCCAATTCCTTGTACGAGCACTCGACGCAGCAGCCTACAGGGTACGAGGCCCGCCATGCATTGGTGCAGGAAGATCCGAGAATGTACATAGGCGACCCCAACACCCTGCACTCTTGCAGGTGGTGGCTACCCACCACACTACCCGCCCAGCAGCTGAGAAGACCAGGGTCGAGTGGCACTGGGTAAGCCAGTGATAGGCACAGCATGCTTCAGAGTGCACGCAGTCGCCGAGATCCTCCCCGTCACACATCCCTGCATCCGCGCAGGTGGACCTGACCAGCGGCGATGGGCTGGCCGATTGCTTCTCGGCCCTGGGTCCAGAGCTCGTAGCGGTCGTGAACTGCGCCGCAGCGTCCGCCCCGGCATTCTGCGAGCAGAATGCTGATCATGCTGCCGCACTCAACGTCCCGCACCAGCTCCTGAAATCCCTGGCGGGGCTCGCTGCGACCCCCCTGCTCATCCACATCTCCACCGACCAGGTGTATGCCGGCACAGGGACGCCCGCTGCAGGGTGGAGCGAGGACTGCAAACCCCAGCCCGTCAATGTGTACGGGGCCACCAAGCTGGAGGCAGAGCGCGCCGTGCAGGTTGAAGCCTTGAGCTGCCGAGAGCCCCATGCTTGCGAGCCCTGTCCTGATGCCAGGGGCACTGCACTGGCGGACTTGCTCCCCTCCTGGTGAATGACACGCTCCTGCTCCTGCACAAACGACTCGCAGGCGAGCTGGCCCAAGCATGTGATCCTCAGGCCCAGCATCATCGTCGGGCCCCCCCCTCCCTTCCCCCTCCACCGCCCGCTCTTCCTCCAGTTTGTGCTGAGCGCACTCTCACAACAGGTATGGGATGGGTTGTCCTGGGGTGGGCATCAGGCTCCCCGTGCCCGCTGCACCCAGGTGCGCAGGAGCATGCGCCCCACTCTACAGGCAGACACGCCTGGGGCGTTCACAACCCCTTTTGCACTGCCCACAGAAACCCACCACGTTCTTCACTGACGAGTGGCGTTGCCCCGTCAGCGTGCATGACATCGTGGCGGCCTGCCTGCGCCTCATTGCAGAGGCAGACAAGCCGCGGGCGCACAGGTGCGGTCCAGGTGCTTGGTTGTCAGAGCTCGCATGCGGGACTTTTGTGGAGTCGGGGGTGACCGCCGGGGGACCCGGCCGGATGCGGCAGCCCATGCATGCGGCATCCATTCCCCATAGTGAGGCGTCTCCCTCCTCCGGCACCTCCTCCAGATCTGGCCCACCATTCCCATGCGCAGGCTGTACAACATGGGCGGTCCCCACCGCCTGAGCCGTGCAGAGATGGCCGAGGCTGCAGCGGCGGTCGGGGGTTGGTCCACGGCTGCCGTCCTGCGGCAGCCAGCCGCGTCCGTGACCCGCGCCGCACCCTCTCCGCAGGACATCGCCATGGACTCCAGCCTGTGCGCGGCAGACCTGGGTGTACACGCGACACCCCTGGAAAGCGTCCTGCGTGCCGTGTGCGCGGCAGCGCAGCCTGACCCATGAAGGAGGCCGGGTGGAGGCGGCCATGTGAGGGTTTCCAAGTGAGGCTCTGGGCGTGCTCCCAGGAGGCTAGCCCGCTGCTATGCCTCGGCTTCTCCATCCCGCTTCCTCTGCGGCATGCGAGTGTAATGAGACGTCATTTTTAACAGAGGGTGTCCCAGACCAAGAAACGCCTGCGATATCAACGCTGTCACCGCCAGCATTGCCTGTGACCAGCTTGCGCACCTTCTTCTCCCTCCTCCGATCCCGGCGGCCAACGGAGTCGCCGGTCAATCCTGCACCTGCGGACCCCGACGGCGCTGCCATTGCGGAAGACACCGGTATGCCCTTGTCTGCCTGCGGTGATGGGCACGGAACATGCTCGGCGGAATTTCCAAGATTGGTAGACCTAAGGATTGCAGCCTGTTCAGGCCGTTTCCCACCGCGATGCACGCCACAGGTCTGCCGGGGTACTCACCTCTGCCAGCTCAAACACGCCTGGCTCCAGACTGCACCCTTGGTCAAGCAGGGCGCGGGAAAGGGGTTTGAACTCGAACGTCGCATCTGCAGAGAGCCCTGCAGCAGCCAAGGGGGCCAGCAGCATCCCAGGACCCCTGCATTGATAGGGGATGTGGACAGGTGTTCACCGGCCGGCACCGCGATCATGGGAGAAGATGCAGATGCTAGCTCTCCTGTTTGGCGCACTTGCGAAACTCCGTGGCTCCACCCATTCCTCTCAGGTAGTCGCCGTGCTTGAGGGCCCCACTCAAGACTGCATTGGCAATGCGACTGAGGTTGTGCGCCTCAAACAAGTCAATATCGCCGCGCAGCTCGTCAGGCACGACTGCAAGGGGATTGGAGAAGCTGGCGCATGTGAATGATTGCGCATCGAGGCTTGAGGGGCCCTTCTTGTCGTGCAAGGCCGGCGCAACTCACTCGGCCCCGGCTGCAGAATTCGATAACCTCCGTCAGCCATGTGTTGGCAAAACAGGGCTTGCGATGCCTGGCAAACTTCAAGTGAAAGCTGGGCCTCCGAATCAGCCTTCTTGACATTTATACGGTCCGGGTGCAAAGGTAACGACAGCGGCATGAAACTTCCGGGAGGATCCCGCCGCTAGCATGCCGTGCGTGACGCCAGATCATTATAGCTTGACATTGCGCCCTTGCAACACAGGACTGACCACGTAGTCGGTGCTCAATTTCAAATTCTTTTTGAGACAGAGGCGCCATGGAGGTCGAGGCCGGCACGAGCCTGGTGGTCGTGCTGGCACTGATGTTCTTCGGCTCCCTGCTGGCCAGTGCCCTCCCCTTCATGTTTCAGATCAGGGGGAACAGCATGAAGGTGGTGGCAGGGCTGGGAGGTGGCCTCCTCCTGGGCACTGCCCTGTCCATCGTCATCCCTGAGGGATTCCACTCCATGGCTGAGGCAAGGGGCACATTTCGAGGATGGCAGATTCTCTCAGAGACAGGGGCGCGATGCAGTCATGGGATGCTGTCTACATCTATCTTCATGAAAATACCGATCAAGCACGGTGTGGCCATGCCCTCTCATCAGCACCCCCACCTTCCCCCGCCGCCCAGGTGGCAGAGGAGCATGGGCATGCCGGGCACGGGCATGGGGCCGACGATTGGTCGGGCGCCATCCTCGTGCTGGGCTTCCTCGGCATGATGGCCCTGGACCGGTCCCAGCCCGGCCACGGGCACGGGTGTGGGGGTCATGCCCACGAGGCACGCCCTCGCGGCCGGCCCGGCGGCCGCGAGGGGCCCCCCAGCCCCACGCGGAAGCCGGGGGCCGTCGATCCCGCCGTCCTGGGGCTGCTGGTGCACTGCGCCGCAGATGGCCTGGCACTGGGGGCCGCAGCACTGTCTGGCAACACGCAGCTCAGCCTCATCGTCTCGGTGGCCATGCTGGCCCACAAGGTGTGTGGGGTTTGGGAGGCAAAGTCTGGAACTGGGCTTTCACTGAGGGTAGGTACTCAGACGCACCCTGCACCATCCACTCCGTCGTGACATGCGATGCATGGCGCAGGAGCGCCTCATGCTGTGTCGTGTCGTGCCGCAGACCTTCAGACCAATGTGCACCCCCTCCCGGCCACACCACATGCTCGCCAGGCCCCCATGGCGTTCGGGCTGTCCACCTACCTCATAGGCCGCGGGGCGGCGTGGCGCGAGGCGCGAGGCAGCCTCCTGGCCTTTGCGGGGGCGGCGCCTGCCTCGGCCACGCTGACGTACGCTCTCCTGTCCCTCTTGCCCGGCGGCGCCAGCTCCCCCACGCTTGTCGCACGCAGCCTCCTGGCCTCGGGCGGCACCTTCCTGTATGCCGCCACGATGCACATCCTGCCAGAGGTGCTAGCGGGTGCTGGGCCAGGGACGGTGGCGGCGACGGCGGGGGGTGCCCTGCTCCCGGCGCTGCTCGCCAGCCTGGGGCTGGGCCATGCGCACTGAGCTGCCGTCCCTGCCGCCCACCTGGCTTCAGACGGAGACTCCCTTGCTGGAGAGAAGGGTGTTGTTGACTGTTTCTTTACAAGGGTGACATTCTGTGCAGAGCAGGCAATGGCCAGTTTGTCCGCCATGGGGCAGAGCAGACTGGCATGCCGTGGGGGGCAGATCAGAGGGCGCGCAGCAAACGGCATTTGCAGCAGTATGAAAGTACAAAGACTAGATGTACCATGACCAACCCAGGCACGGCCAGTCAGGTTTGGGTTCGGGCCGTGCCGCACATCTGGCACTGCTGGCTCGACATGCGTGTGTTGGCGTAGGTGCTGCGAGTAGTACCGAGGGGGACCTTACTGAGTTGTGTTCACGCCTAGTAAATGGTCACCACCAGAGGAAGACCCCCCAAGCTGCAGGACACAGTTTCACATGTCACCTCCCACCATCCAGACCAGCTGCCCCCCCCAAATCACGCACCAAAGCTGGCACATCCACGCATGTGCCTCGTCCTGTGAGGGCATGTTGCGGGCCGGGCGGGGCCTGGGGTGCTTCATGGTCATGCGATATGGGTCGTAGGCGTCAGACCTCGGGCCTGCCCTGGCATCCCTGGTGGGCTTTGCAGAGGTGCTGGCCTCATCAGCACCCCGCCCTCCAGTCTTGGGGTTCACTGGGCATGGGAGGGCGCGCGGAGCTGCTCAGCAAGCACGAGCTGGGCGGGATCTTACACCCATGGCAGCCCCTCCGCGGGGAGGCATCGCTGCAAGGCTGAGGTGGAACAGACCGGCATACAGGACCACCAGGCCCCTCATCGAGGGGCTGCAAGATTCCGTCATCTGGACCCTCCCCCTGCTCACCTGTGTCATAGCTCTGGAGGGCCAGGTCCAGCCCCTTCTCCATTTCATTGACCAGCTTGGTGAAGTGGGACCTCGTGACATCTGTTAGCCCTATCAACTGCTCCCTGCACGTTTGCAAGCAGGGTGCAGCAGGGAGCAGATTGGTGTGTGTGGATTAATGAGTCCTTGGTGTTCCAAGATCACAAAGGAGCCACCAGCCCATCTTGCACAGCACCACACGGAGTAGGGATGTATCCAAAAAGACCACGAGCAATCAATCCACTCCAAGCATTGTGCCATCATGGCCCCCACAAGTTCCAGGTTCACCACCCCACACGGCCCAACACCTCGGGCATACCGGAACACAGCCCACTCCTCGACGGCTGTCTCGCTGTGTTCGACAGTGAGAAACACCTGGAGGTCCTTCTCTACCTGCAAGGATACCTTTGTGAGCGCTAGGTTTAGGGCAGACCCCCCCCCAGGGCACCCCGCCGTGCACCCATGACACGCCCCTGGCCCTCGAGCATATCCTGTGAGCGCAGCCGCCCGACGTCACCTTGTGGTGCAGCCGCTCCAGGTAGTGCTCCGCTTGGCCCTGCACGTTTGGCCAGGCCTTGGAATTACAGACCTTGATGGAGGTGTATGTGATATGGCATGGCAAAGCTCAAGTCATCCACTAGCCACAAGCTCCAGAGACCTCTACCCTGGGGGTTGAAAGGAGTGACCCCACCCTGGTGTCACAACATGATACCTGATTAAACACAAAAAATCTCTCATGCTGCTCTGCTGCCAGATCCTCCTTCTTGCCATCCTCTTTCGTAAACTTGTAGTAGCCCTCGGCATACGTCCACTTCAGGATGCGACGGCAGTCGATCACCTGGGTCGACAAGCAAGCACACTGCCACCTGGTGGACACACTGCATTGGCCCAGGTAGTAGACTGCCATCCAGGACCCAGCTCCAGCCACCGAGCCGCGTCAAAGTAATCGTCATCCTCTTCCCAAGGCCATCAGGACAAGGCTTCCCCTCCACCCACCTGCTTCCACGCATCCTCCACAAACTTGAGCTGACTGGAGGGTGTTGCTGTGATCTCGGAGAGTGGTTCCTGCTGCCTCTCACGGAACTTGATCAGGTGAGTAAGAGCCTGGTGAGGAGGTGAGGGTGGTGTAAGGTGAGGACCAGGTTGGGTATGTGGCATGCTATTCCGTTGGGGTCCATGCACATGGCCCACGAAATTCAGACAACATATTGCCAGAACAAGTACCAAGGAATAGCTGAGTCAGGTCAGATTCCACACTTAGATATATGCATGCAGTATGCCTTTTTCAATCCTGATCCTCTCAAAATCCAATACTCCATCCTACCTTGGCTTTTGCCCGGTCGTTCTCGGCCCATCGCTGCCAGTAGTGCATGTACCGTTCCAGGGATTGCTTGGCCTGTTCACGCTGCATCTCACGCTCGTCCAGCTCCCCATTTTGCCGGGCCTTCTGGTACCTGGACACATTGTCCAGTGAAGAATCTAGGCGCCATGCCTGGCATCCCTTTCAGGCAGCCCATGTGCACGACATTCGATCTTCCCCTGCACGCACTGCCCCAGACAAGACACCCACGCACATGTTGCAGCCGTAATAGCCGCCTGTGTTTTCGTTGTGCTTTCTCCAGTCCCCGAGGCACAGCCAGCAGAACTCATGCCGGCACTGGCTGCAGGTCATGTGCATGCAGCCTTGGTTCTTCTCTATGTGGCGCCTGCAAGGAAAGGGGCAGTTGCAAGGTGAGGGAGTGCAGGCAGGCGACAGCCTGGAGCCTGACCGACCATCTTCAACCTTGTCTTCAACGGTCTTCCCCAAACTATCATCCATCCCCAATTCTTTGTCCGGCTCACTTGCAGTTTGGACAGTTCTTGGTATTTGCCAAGATCCATGTCATGTTCTCGCTCTCCTTGCTGTCTCGAATGATCCATAGGTTAACAGTTGAGCAGTCGACCTGGTGGGAAAGTAATTTTCGTGTCGAAAAGGCATTCATCAGAACATGGGCCTGTCTGAAGGCCACGCACTGACACTCACGGTCCCTTGAATGAGCCATTTGCTGTCTATGTCATCAGACACTCCAGACTGGATGCCCACCCCTCCCTCAACCTCTCACCGGACGATGGGCTTCCTGCTTGCACTTGAAGCAATACTTTGAGCCGCAGTCACAGATCACATCCAGCGCAGCTGTCACTGGGACAGACATCGCCTCTGCTGCCCTTCCACAGTCTGCAGGGGCAATGGGGGAGGTAGCACGGGTTCGGATAACCAACATGACATCCCATGCTTCTGCTGCATATCCACACGTCACAGAAGTGTGGCCTCAGGGATTCCAGAAGAGAATAGGAAGCTGTTGAGAGGTGCCACCGGTGATCAGTCCGACATCAACCAAAATGATGGCTCTCCAAAAGGATGGAGTAGTCGCACCGTTACCCAACGCAGCCCAGGGTATTTTGGCTCTCCTGCAATGCCCAATGAGAAGGGACCAGTACCGACAGCCCTCTCCACTCGCAAACGCACCTGGAGCGGGACACCAGGTCAGCCCGCTCTGCATCTCCACAAAAGACTCCAGCAGGAACTTACGCCAGCGTGCCTTATGGGAGTCGTCTGCAACCGCATCGAGAATGGCATCCGGAACCTGCATCATGCATTGCGGCGTCGATGAAAGATGGTGGGATGTTTTTGGCAAAGGGAGGGACCCAGGGTTTGACAAGAAGGCCGTTCAGTCCCAGCTGGCCACAGAAAGGATACACCTTCCCATACTTTTCAGCAGCGATGCCCACCGCAGCTTCTCCTGGCATGGAGGGACCTCGCCTTGCTCGCGACTCCTTCAACTCAGACAATGACACAAGGAAGCTCGCAAAGAGCCCAGACCTACCAGCACGCTGCACTCTGGGTCGGGGCATCTGAGGTCCAGACATTTGGGGCCTGACTCCACAGCAGTGTGGACATACCCAGTCCAGCAGTCCTTGCAATACCGGTGTCCACAGGCAGCGGCGTGCATGCTGGTTGCAGGGAAGGTCTCAAAGCAGATACCGCACTGGCCCTGTTTGAGCACCAAGTTGGGGAAGAACATAACTGATGGCAAATGATTGTCAACCAATGCTGTATTGTCACAGGTTTTGGCCATCAGGATGAGACGCTCTGCATGCCATGACTCTGTAGATGAATACACGATGCTTATGCCTACCAGGGTGCAAACTAGATCGTCCCATCGATATAAAGCCTCACTCATCTCACCTCTGCATCATCCTGTCGAGGGGCAGGTGTCTCCCTGATGCCTACCCTCTCCTTCACCTTATCTGGGTCCGAGAACCATTCATCCTGAAGCCTCGTTGTGTCCCTGTGTTGTATTGAGCCAGGGCATACCGCGCATGAGTAAGAGGGATCGTAGTGTACGGTCTGACTTCGAGCATCCGCCAACCCGCCAACCCTGCACACCATTTGAAGGCGTGGAGCAAGCGTGCTGCTTCGCCAATTGGCATGCAGCATAGCTCAGCAATCCTGCCGGCTGCTGCATCGACTCTATTTTGTAATGTGGTGTTATCTAGTGTGGTGTAACCTCCCTGTTGTAGGAGGAGATACGCATTCATATTAGAAGGTGAACCGAGCATCAGCTTGCATCACCTGAAACCTTGGGATGCAAGCAAAGCGCGCACCTTCCGATCGCTCAGTAGACCCGCGCTACCCGCATCGTCATCGAAGTCAAAATCTGCAGCTTCAGATCCATAGCTGAATTCCTCATCCTCGTACTCCATGCTATTCGCTTGCGAGTCTGACTCGCCTGGCTCGGAGTCGGTCATTATGGTGACCCCAGGGAATACAGGTCATGCAATAGACTCCGATCGATGCAACAAAAGGCGAGGGTGTCGATGAATGTCGGTGCAGTATGCTAATCGATCCCACATGCTCCAGAGGGCCAACCTAGTGATTTCCCTCCGATATGCCAGCTTGGCGTGATGTGCCGTGCGGAGGGGTCACGAGTATTAAGAGCGCCTGAGGCACCAGGACGGGAACACCAGGTTCCCACAGCGACATATAATTGCCGGGACCGATTGCTTTGAGACGCTACTTTGGTGCCCTTGCGCACTGTGGGCCCTGTTCATCGGCCCGAGCCTGACTCCTCCGCCTTCATGATGCACCCTTAGCCGACACCGGGATTGAACAGCATGGACGAGCTCAAAAAGCTGCAATACCTTTCGCTCGTGAGCAAAATCACCACAGGTACACCACGTGGATCGGGGCCAGCTTCAGAGATGGGTGGACATGTGCTCGATTGCCGCGAGTCTGTTGCGTTTCAAGCCGTTCGCTCCGCGACACAGTTCCTGTGTGGTGCAGTAGCCAAACAAACAGTGCATCCTGAGCCCGAGTTCTCCTAAACCAATATCAGAGCTGGAAAACCACCTGGGCATCGGCGACAAGACCCTCTCCGAGTTCATCATCGAGACCAGCCGTGGCCAGCCGGATGCTCGTGCGTTCCAGGTCGCCCTCAACGCACAGGGAGCAGAGCTGCCGGATGGTCTCCCAGACAGACTGTGGACCATCATCCAGAAGCTGCTTCCCAGCAAGTCTGCGCACCCTGGCACATCCCGCCCCTCGGGCCCCCTGGGCTCCGCCCTGGCCCTGCCGGATTCCCGGGAGCGGGTGAAAGCCATGGAGCAGGAGATCATTGCCGAGGGGGAGGCTGCTCGCCGACGGGAGCGCCAGGCCTCCCACGGCGGCGCCTCCACCAGGGACGAGCGGCATCGAGGCCGGAGCCGCAGCCGTAGCCGTAGCAGGGGGAGGGAGAGGGCGGGTCGGGAGGAGGGCCGTCGGGAGGCAGAGCGCCACAGGACGTCGCCTGACAGACGCGGACGCCCCAGGCGCAGCCCCAGTCCTGTGCGCGAGGTCATGGACGACGAGGCACAGCTGTACAAGATATACAGAGTGAGGCGGGTGTGGCGGATGAGACCAGGATGTGCAGGGTTGTGAGTCTTGAGAAGGACGCATCTGGTGCACACCCCTGAGAGAGTAGGGTGCTGTGTGAGGCCGCATGTATGCATGCAGGCTGTGATCGGCCTTGGACCGTTGCCCCTGCCGCATTGACGCTCCACCACCACCCCCTCCTTTGTCCAGGGGCGGGTCACGAATGTCATGGACTTTGGCTGCTTTGTGGAGCTGCAGGTGAGTGGGACCAAGAAGGGAGGGGAAGGGGGAGAGAGTAGGTCATAACCTCGTTGTGGCCAGACCTGTCCTGTGACTTTCGGTTGCAAGCATGTTCCCTGAGAACCTAAGTGTTCATAGAATCTGTGAGAGTGCCACACCGCCCACTCAGCTGAGCTTGGCGCCGCCCCCCATCATCCCATCTGGATCAAATGTGCAGGGCGTGCGCGTCAAAGCGGAGGGCCTGGTGCATGCCAGCAACATCTCTGCCACCAAGCGCGGGTCTGCCAAGGAGCTCGTGTCTCGAGGTGAGGCCAGTGGTCTTTGGTGGGAACCCCAGAGTTGTGGACCTGCCCTCCAGAGGGACTAGTTCACTGTGTTCATCTTGGGGTGCGCCTGTGGCAACCAGTGAACCTGGGTTGAGACAGGTGTGTGTGCCCCTGCTGGCTGCTGGCTGCTGCATTCCCCCTTTCCACATCTCACCAGGTGACAATGTGTGGGTCAAGGTGGTCTCACGCGCTGGCCAGCGGCTGGGTCTCGCGATGCGTGACGTCGACCAGGCCACCGGTGAGGACCTCCTGCCCATGGCCGGCGGGGCTGGAAGGGGCCAACCCAATGGGGTCGGCGCAGGCGCCGCCCCCTCCGCACTGCATGGCTTGTCAGGCATTAAGGTGAGGGGTCCCGGCTTTTGCCTTCGAACATGCTGCGCGATGTACCTGTACCTATGCGGCAGTCTTGTGTCTTCCAGTTTGGGAGCAACTCTCAATGGCAAAGTCCGGGGTATGCTCTGGAGGGTGGGTGTTGCCAGGGCAGTCACAGGTCATTGTGTGGTCGGCGAATACCCCCGCTGACCCCTCTACGCACGCGGCCCGCACCCTATATCCACCCTCAGGTGAAGGACGACGGCGACGATGCCAAGCCCCGTCGGCGGGGACGGCGTATGACTTCTCCCGAGCGCTGGGAGATTAGCCAGCTGATCAAGTCCGGGGTGCTGGACCCATCAGAGTACCCAGGCTTCAACGACGATGAGGGCACCTATGCCGACATGGACGACGAGGTGGGTGTGGACTTGGATTGTGCACAGAAGCCTTGCATCTTGAGGGAGATGTCTCTTGGTGGGAATGCAGCAAGACTAGCCTTTGCAGGCTCATGATGGGCGTGCAGTCTTCCTCACCTCCCTGATCCGCTAGGCTGGTGGATGTCAAACCCTTCTTGCTCCCCCTCACCTGCCTGCCGGCTGGTTCTGCACCATGACCTTCCTCAGCAGACAAGGGACCTGAGAACCACCCCACATGGCCCAATGCCCACCCGCACCCTCTTTCCCCCCCACACCACGACCTTCTCCCCAACAGGTGGAGGAGGAGTTTGAGATCGATATCAACGACGAGGAGCCCCTGTTCTTGAAGGGGCAATCTTCCAAGTCTGGCGGGGAGATGAGCCCCATCAAGATTGTGAAGAACCCGGACGGCAGCATGCAGCGCGCGGCCATGACCCAGTCGGCGCTGGCCAAGGAGCGGCGCGAGCTGCGCGAGGCGCAGCAGCGCACGCTGCTGGAGGCCATCCCCAAGGACCTGTCCCGGCCGTGGGAGGACCCGCTGGCGGACGCGGGGGAGCGCGCGCTGGCGGCCGAGCTGCGCGGCATCGGGCTGGGCACCAGCGAGGTGCCGGAGTGGAAGCAGAGCGCGCTGGGCAAGGCGCCGACCTTTGGCATCCGCGACTCGCGCAGTATCCGGGAGCAGCGCGAGAGCCTGCCCATCTTCAAGCTGCGCGATCAGCTGGTCGCGGCGGTGGCCGACAACCAGGTGCTGGTGGTGATCGGCGAGACGGGGAGCGGGAAGACGACGCAGATGACGCAGTACCTGGCCGAGGCGGGGTACACCGCGGCGGGGAAGATAGGCTGCACCCAGCCGCGCCGCGTGGCGGCCATGTCGGTGGCAAAGCGCGTGAGCGAGGAGGTGGGGTGCCGGCTGGGGGAGGAGGTGGGCTACGCCATCCGCTTCGAGGACTGCACCTCCCAGGCCACCGTGATCAAGTACATGACTGATGGCATGCTGCTGCGCGAGGCGCTGCTGGACGACGCCATGACCGCCTACTCAGTCATCATGCTGGACGAAGCGCATGAGCGCACCATCCACACTGACGTCCTGTTTGGCCTGCTCAAGGGCGTGCTGGCTCGGCGACGCGACCTCAAGCTCATCGTCACCTCCGCGACCCTGGACGCCGAGAAGTTCTCGGCCTACTTCTTTTCCTGCCCCATCTTCACCATCCCGGGCAGGACCTACCCCGTGGAGATCCTCTACACCAAGGTGGGTGCAGGGTATGTGGGGGAAGGGGGGGCGAGGGGGGGTCAGAAACAGGAGCGGGGAGCTCGGGGCAGGACTGGCGAGCTTCAGGGTTTTTCCAGCCTGGGACCGAGTGCTTTGCAATTCAAGGGACCCTACTGCCTCTGTAGCTTACACGCACATCCAGCCTTCAATGCGAGTATCCCAACCACTCACATCCCCCGCCGCATCCCAACACAACCCACTGCAGGATCCAGAGAGCGACTACATGGATGCGGCCATGATCACGGTGATGCAGATCCACCTGACGGAGCCGGAGGGGGACATCCTGCTCTTCCTGACAGGGCAGGAGGAGATCGACACCGCAGCCCAGACGCTGTTTGAGCGCATGAAGAGCCTGGGGCCCGCCGTGCCGGAGCTCATCATCCTGCCTGTGTACTCTGCCCTGCCCTCGGAGATGCAGGTGGGCTGCGGGGGATGGGGGACAGGGGACAGGAGATGTGGGGGGTGGAGGCAAGGGCGACGAGAACAGGGAGGTGGGCTGGGCGGGTGATGCGATCACGCAGCCACAATGCCAGAGTGCAGTGGCCAGGGGGGCGGGGCTCTATCACTTGTTGCGTGGTGAGACAGTCCTCCCACCAGGTGCGTCTTGCAGTCACCTGCATGTCCACTGCACGCGGAATTGTCTGCGAAACCTTGCACTGACGCTCCGACCATTCCCTGCGCAGACGCGCATTTTTGACCCTGCGCCGCCAGGGACGCGCAAGGTCGTCATCGCCACCAACATCGCGGAGGCGTCGCTGACCATCGATGGCATCTACTACGTCGTCGACCCGGGTTTCAGCAAACAGAAAGTGTACAACCCCAAGGTGGGCATTGGGGCGCTGGGGTGGGCGCCCCAAGCGTCTCTGCCGCCTGGTGGGGACTTGGGTTGGGCAGGGGTCGGCTGCACACCCAGAGCCGAAGGGCTGAGCCACAGTACATCCACCAAACTCCCACCCTACAGATCGGGATGGACTCCCTGGTGGTGGCGCCCATCTCTCAGGCCTCTGCGCGCCAGAGGGCGGGCAGGGCCGGGCGGACGGGGCCCGGCAAGTGCTACAGGCTCTACACTGAGATGGCGTACAAGAACGAGATGCTGCCCACCTCCATCCCGGAGATTCAGAGGTGGCCTGGGGATTTGGAGTGTAGTCTTGGGAGAGGGCCTCTGGGGACAGAGCTGGGTGTCAGGATGGGTTCTGTGCAAGGCCACCTGATGGCAGGTCGTGTCAGTCCCCTTACGCTGCAGTCCCGCACGCCACTTGCCCTTTTCAGATCCAATCTGGGACTCACCGTGTTGACGATGAAGGCCATGGGGATCAACGATCTCCTGAATTTCGACTTCATGGACCCTCCCCCAGCACAGGTGGGTGGTGGCTGGTGTGCATCTACATGCATGGATCATGGGAGAAGGGGACTGGACAGCGGCCTCGCAAGAACAATCACACCTCCCTTGTGTGTGCAGTGTGGAGTGCCTTGTCAATCGCCCATTATGTCCTCCTGCACCACCTTGACCTTGCAGACACTGGTTTCGGCACTGGAGACGCTCTACAACCTTGGAGCTCTGGATGAGGAGGGATTGCTCACGAGACTCGGGAGGTGAGTGGCTCGATGTGTGATTGGGCATACTTTTGCGCAGGTTGTGTCATGGGGAGATGCAGGAGGTTGTGATGCCCTGGGCCGAAATGGTCTGTAGACGCCCATGAGATCGCCAGAGTTTGAGCATGATCGCGAATTCATTCCTTGGATGTCAGGCTACCCGTGCTCTACAACACGCCCATCCCACATCTGCAGGAAAATGGCCGAGTTCCCGCTGGATCCACCCGTGGCCAAGATGCTGATTGCCTCGGTGGACATTGGGTGCTCAGAGGAGATCCTTACCATCATTGGCATGCTTTCCGCCCAGAACATCTTCTACAGGTGTGTGTAACGTAGCTTTGTGTGTGTGTTTGCCTAGGGATGTGCATGAGTATGGAGGCTGAAGCTTGTGACCATGCTACCCAAGTCTAGGAACAAGGCTCCATGTGCATAGCATCCCTCCATGCTTTGCTTGTGGAATGCGCCATGCTCCGTATGCCATCCCCACCACACACCCCTGCAGACCCAAGGAGAAGCAGGCACAGGCCGACCAGAAGAAGGCCAAGTTCCATCAGCCCGAGGGCGACCACCTGACCCTGCTGGCGGTGTACGAGGGCTGGAAGAACAGCAAGTTCTCCAACCCCTGGTGCTTCGAGAATTTCATCCAGGCGCGCTCCATGCGCCGCGCGCAGGACGTGCGCAAGCAGCTGGTGGCCATCATGGATCGTTACAAGCTGGACCTGGTATCGGCGGGTGAGTGGTGGAGGAGCTCGTGAGGTTTGGGCCGCGCATGGCCATTTGGGATCCAGAGGGCAGGGAGAGGGCGTGCTTGACTGGGCACGATCTGGCAGGGGCTTGCAATCGACCTGTCCTACATGCTCAGGAAGGTGGCTCGCCCAAGCCGCCAAACATCACTCCTGCAATTTCGTGCCAGGGAGGAACTACACTCGCATCCAAAAGGCAATCTGCGCCGGGTTCTTCGCCCACGCCGCCCGCAAGGACCCCCAGGTGAGTCATGGCTGCACAGGGCCGGTGCGCATGTGCCTGTGCTGGATTGGCAGAAAGCGAAATGTGAAGCATGGCACGCACTTTGAAGTGATGCTTCAGCGCTTGATTACAATAGTCGAGTATCTGTGTTGCTGACGCCAGCCGCATCACACTCCCTGCCCCCCGCCATGAATTCCCTGCAGGAGGGCCACAAGACGGTGGTGGAGCATCAGCCGGTCTTCATCCACCCGTCCTCTGCTCTGTTCCAGCATCAGCCTGACTGGGTCCTCTACCACGAGCTGGTTCTGACCACCAAGGAGTACATGAGGGAGGTGAGTTTTGGAAGAGGGGAATGGGGAGGATGTGGCCCAGGAGGGTAGCCTTCCTGTGTGCAGCAGCAACAACTGGTCTTGCACAACACTTGTTGCTTGAAGCTCGCTGGCTGACATGTCTCTGCGCCCTCGCAGGTGACTCAAATCGACCCCAAGTGGCTGGTTGAGTTGGCACCTCGCTTTTTCAAGTCAGCAGACAGCCACAAGCTGTCGCGGCGGAAGCGGCATGAGCGCATCGAGCCGCTCTACGATCGCTACAACCCACCCAACGACTGGAGGCTGTCCAAGCGCAGGGGTTGATTGGTGTGCTGCTGTGGAGGTGAAACGCCTTGTGGCCAAGCCCTGGAGCCTCACCCGCGCTATGAGCATGCCTGTGCTTGTCAATGTAAATCGACTGCCCCTGGCCAGATGATCGACATTGAAGAGAATTGGTGGGTCTGTCCTTGCCCTCAGCATGCGCAGCACGGCCTCCCTTCAAACTTTCGAACAGTGGAGGCGCATGGCAGGATGCGCGATGCCGATCGAACGGCTTGCTATCCTCATTGACATGACATGACCAGTGAGCAGGACAAACATGAAAGAGGGCATTATGTCAAAGGCATCCGATGCAGCGGTTGCTGCCCTCGAGGCCGCCCCCGCTGTCAGGTACAAGAGGTCTCGGAAAAGCGCCCCCGCCCAGCTGGTGATCGACACTCGAGGTTTGACGCCATCCACCGCCAAGAAGCATGCGAAGAAGACAATTGATGTCAAACCAACAATTTCGCCGCCCTCGGCGCGGCCTTGCGCACGGGTTGCCCAGAGTGTTCCTCCCAGGACCAGCATCGCCAGCCTCGAGCATGCTGCTGCCTACTTTCAGCAATTGGACGAGGAGGAGCTGGTCGAGGAGGACGCTTCTCCCACGCAGTCCCCACAACCGCCTTGCAGCTTTACTCCCACCCCTAGCTTCACCGAAAACGAAGGGTGGGGCTCCAGCGAGAAGGAAGGACTCGACATGGACACCCCCCACACATCTGAGCGGCTTCTCGCACCGCGCTCTGAGCCATACAAGGTGGAGTCGTGGTGGGCGTGCAGCTCGAAGGTGTGCGCACCGGTGGAGGTTTGGAACATTGGCATGCATGTGTAGCCATGAAAGTAAGGGAATCTAACATCTGCCTGAATCCATCACACCTGCAGGGTACCACCATCAGACTCTCCACCATTTTCTCGGAGCTCCAAGCTGCTCCCATGCTCAAGTCTTAGAGTAGCAAATGGCTGCCGTACAACATGACATGCTGCTGGAGCCTCATGTGGATGCAATCCATGCAGCTTGAACTGGCCCCTTGATTTGTGAAGCTTGCTTACAATGCCTGACAGGCTGTGCCATATTCTGCTCCAGGACTTGTAGCCCTCGTACTTCTTCTCAATCATGGTCTCCACCTTCCACCTTGCCCTGGAAGACATACTTCATCCTAGATCTTTCAGGTGCGCTGAAAGCAATGCTCCTCATCCTTGGCTGTTGACGATTTTCATGAAATGAATCTACTGCTTTGTTGGACTGACTCTGGCAGCCTGCATGCATGCCGGGGGGGGATGGTACAGGGATCACAGCAGACTGTGCTGGGTCCACAGCCCATCTCAAAGTAAAAAACTGTCAGGTCACGATGTTCCGGGCAAGTCCTCTGGCAGCTGGGTCGAGCTCTTGATGCCGCGTGCAAACTGTGCTCCAATCAGGCACACCACTCCAAAGAAGGTGTAGAGCACCGGCACGGAAAAGGCGTTGACGGCAAGGAGGAAGGCCTGACCAATTGCAAAGTTGCAGATCCAGTGGGTCCCCATGGCCATAGCCATGGCCTTGCCTTTCAACGTGAGGGAGTCGGGCCGGGTGCTTGGATCTTGCTGGCAGCGAGGGCTGTGATCTCGTGACATGCGGAGGACTGCTTTCCCTCTGCAGTCCTCCGGCGGGCATGTTGGATTCAGGCCCCTCTGCCCCGCCAATGCATCGGAGGGTACTCGAGGGAAGTCCGCCCCAAGGACCCTCCCCTTCACCCGCCCACCCACGCACACACCTCTCAGGTTCACGGGGGTGATCTCCGGCACCAGTAGGGCGGGCACGGGGCCCACCCCCAGCGAGAAGGAGAGGATGTACGCCAGCGTGCCCAGCACGGCGACGTAGGGTCCCAGGTGCGCCAGGGCAGGCAGGCGCATGCCTGCGGCCATGAGCAGCATGGAGGCCCCCATCCCAACCCAGCTCCAGCTGAGCAGGTGCCTGGGGTGCCGGGTAACATGGGCGGGCGCCGGGTGAGAGGTGGACGGCGGCAGCGGCTAGGCCGCGGCCCGCACGGGATGGAGCTGACCCGCTCATTATGCTCTGCCCACCCACCAAGTAGCCTTTGCCCTCCGTCACTGGGACTCTGTCTGGACCCCAGCGTGCATTGTGTAGCTTCCAGTCGACCCCACTCACCTGCGTCCCACACGCTCGATCACGCTCGCCGCCAGCAGGGAGCCCAGCACGTTCACCGTGCCCACAGCCGCGCTGGCCAGCGTGCCGGAGTGGAATCCCGCGCGCTGTGACACAGAGGGTCGAGGCGAGGGAGACAGGGAGGGTGGATTGTGCTGCTCGTGCCCAGCACCCTGCCAGGCACGAGCAGTAGGCTGCACTTCACCACTGCGCAGCATGCAAGCCTCCATCACCAGGGCGCTCGGGTTTGCACCCAGGATGACCCCTGCACCGCATCACCAGGCCCTACCTCAAACACCGACGAGGAGAAGTAGACGATGGCGTTGATCCCGCTGAACTGCTGGAGGAAGAAGAGGGCCGCACCCGTCAGCGCGCCGCGGTTGGCCACCACCTCGCCCCACTGCGCGCGGTCCTTGGGCCCCCCGTCCGACTTGGCGTGCCCTGCCATGTCGGCCTCCAGCAGCGCCTCGCCACCCGGGCCCCACAGTCTATGCGCCGTCTCATCTGCGAGCGCGTGCTGCCCGCTCAGCCCCAGCCAGGAGGGGGTTTCGGGGGCCAGGAACAGCATGCCTGCCCATGGTGTATGTGTGTGTGTGTGCGAGTGTGTGTGTGTGCGTGTGCGCGCGAGAATGTCCACATGGAGTGACCCTCTGGAGAGCTGAGCTTCACGGGGACTCTCACACCCCTGCACCATGGTGAGCATGATGCACCCCTGCCTGTCCAACCCACCAGCGCCAAGCAGGACGGCGGGGAGGGCACCCACCCAGAAGAGCGCGCGCCAGTTGCGCGTGGGCACCAGCACATTGAGCACCAGGGCCGCCAGGATGCCGGCGCAGATGAGCACCTGGTTGAGGGTGCCCAGGGCGCCCCGCTGGCTAGGCGGGGCCACCTGTGGGTCGGCTCGAGGATGGAATGATGCAGGCCGGTGGGAAAGGGGTGAGCAGGGGATCGAGTGCTGGGCCCTCTGCGTTGCCATGCAGCACATCCCACCTCGGAGATGTACACGGGGACGAGGGCAGAGGAAAGGCCAATGCCTGCGCCGGTGATGGCACGCCCGGCTATCATGAAGGCTGGCGAGGTGGCCAGGGAGCTGATCAGGGGCCCGATGATTAGGGGAGCGGCATCCAGCAGGAAGGCCCTGCGTCGGCCCAGACGATCTGCCAGGCCGCTGCCCCCCAGGCTGCCGACGGCGGCAAAGGCCAGGAGACTGCTCACCACCTGCAAGGGATCGTGGGTCAGGGCATCGAGGCTGTGGCATGCAGTTTACAGTCCCGGACCGCATGATCATGCCATATACTGGAATGCCTCCCCTTTGCATAGGCACCTCGGACCCAAGTAAGTCGCGCACCAGGCCCTGCAGCGTGGCGTTTCCCCCGAACCCAAGATCGGAGGCGATGGCCTCCAAGGGGCCGTTGATCACTCCCAGGTGGTACCCGAACGCGAGAGCCCCCATGCCCGCCACGCCCACTCCCAGGGACACGCTGCCCGACGGACTGTGGGCACCCCTTGGGCCGGACACGGACGCTCCACCGGCATGGTCACCCATGGGACCGGCTGTGGGGCTGGAGACTCTGCGACTCATGTGCCTCTGCGCGACACCGCTATGTCCGACACGCACCCACTTTGACGAGATCAGAGCTGTGCAGAGACCCACAGGAGTGGCTCTGGACTGGAAAATCATGACCCTTTAGGAATGCTGAGGGCCTCAGGCATGTACAAGGGCTTGGATCATAGTAGCCGGGCGAAGCGGGAACTGCCCCCTTTGAATAGTCAGCGGACAGCAGTGCATCCGAATCGTGCGGCCCACCCACTGGACCTTAGCCACCCCAAATGCCGGAATTGGCTTGTTGGATCAATCACGTTTCATAGTCGCGTGGGCGTGCGTCTGGCAGTAGAGGGAGTAGAGGGAGCAGGTCCCGTCACTTCTCCAGAAGTAGGTTACCACATTCCTTCCATTTCCGCCGAGCCAGATAAGTATAATGGGAGATAGCAAGTCCAGTTCTTTATTAATTCATGCACCTTTGGATCCACGTGATTCTGTGTGATGGGGGAACAGTGCGATTCCCCCAGCTGCGCTTGGAGACCAGCAGGGCGCGCCGCGCTAGGGCAGGCCTCAGTGTGGGTGTGAAACCAGAATGATATGCGGGGCAGGCCCTAAGGTGCACTTCTATTGTGCAACAGAAGGATTATATCATAAAGGAAGGCGCGCAACCTTCAAATTTCCCTTCGGTCTGAGAACCCTAACCTCATTACGGCCGCACCCGAGAATCCCCAGAATGGTAAACTCGGCCATATGCACGAAGCCCCTGCCCGCACCACCTTCAGTGGATGCCAAGCTCTTCAAGAGCTTCGGCGTGGAGGTGGTGTCGGGGTTTGACCCCACCGACTTTACCCCCGAGCAATTTATCGAACTGGAGAGGCTCCTGTACGAGCACGATGTGGTTCTCTTCAGGGGTCTCGACCTGGCCCCAGAGCACCAGTACAAACTCACCAAGGCCTTTGACCCCACTTGTGAGTCATACGGCCACGGCAACAACCAGGTGAGGGCGTGTGTGGGGGGGGTTTGCAGCCAGACAACCCTGCTGTGGGTCCACCCTTGCAGGAGTGTATCTTTCATGTAGACCCTTGGGTGTGATCCTGGGTTAGGGCATGCACGCAAAGGTCCCTTTCGCATGGCTTATGTATAGCATCCCTTCCTGTACACATGTACAAGTGCATGCCCCTCGATTCTCCACCCCCCAACACACAATCTCCGCAGACGACCAAGCAGGCAAAGTCCGTGCTGCACCCAGACCTGAAGACCATCCCCAGCGTGCCCCAAGTCCAGCTGATTGGAAATGGGATCGTGCACGACCACTGGGGCCTGGCCGAGGCCAAGCTCAAGCACCCGCACCATCGCACCTTCCACAAGGACCCTGTGAGCGAGGAGGACGAGGCGGCGGGGGCCACCCGATTCTACCGCTGGCACATCGATGCTGCCCTGTACGGTGACCTGGCCCCGCCCAAGGTGGACGAGGGCGAGGGTGGTCCTGGGGTCCTGCTCGCGAACACCCATCCTGGGAGGGGTTGCGCTCTACGACACTGGTTTGTATCGAGAAGGCGCTGGTGCATGTTCACAAGGCTAAAATCTCGATTGAATGGGCCGCTGTCGAGGTTCCCGCTCAGACAGAGGCATGTTGCCCTCAGCCCGCTGCGGGGGCTTCTCGGGCCCTGCACGCCTTACCTCCCTCCCCTTCCGCCCTCCCGCCGTGAGCACCCAGGTGACCTCCCTGTACGCTGTGGCTGCCCCCGCCGGCCCGCCCCAGGTCTGCCGGTACGACGACGGGACGGGGGACGAGCTCGCCGTCCCCCTGGGCACCACCGCCTTTGTCTCCGGCACCACCATGCTGGACGTGCTCCCGCCCGCCCTGCGCAGCCTGGCGGTGCGCTCCTCGGTCCGCTACGCCCCGCATCCCTACGTCTGGATGGCCCGCGCCCATGCGCTGCCCACGGGCCTGGGCCTCGAGGACGAGGGGCTGGAGGTCCTCCCCGAGGAGCTGCCCCCCTGGGACCCCCGGGACCAGCAGACCCTGCCCGTGTGCTGGCGCAACCCGGTGACGGGGCGCCTGCACCTGCAGGTCCACCCCTGCGCCATCCAGGCCCTGGTGGTAAAGCCTCTGCCCCCTGGCGCGGCATCCCGAACGACCGACGCCCTCTACCCCAACGGCGGCGAGGTCACCGACCTGGCCGAGGTGCGGCGCCTGGTCTACGCGCTGCAGCGCCCGGGCATCGCGCCGGGGCTGGTGTACCCGCACGCCTGGTCCGACGGCGACCTGGTCCTGTTCCACAACCGGGGCGTGCTGCACAGCGTGGTGGGGGCCTTCCGGCCCGACCAGGTGCGCAAGTTCCACCAGTGCAACTTGGCCGCCAGCGACCTCCCTGCAGGGCCCACGCCCGAGGACATCGCCACGTACGCGTGAGTCCGGCCCCGCGGGTGCTCGCCATGTCGACGCCGCGCAGGCGCCCCGCTCGCTGTACCTTGCTCCTGAGTTGGTCTGGGCTCCCGCTCCGCCCTGCACCTGTAGTTGTATCCCTGTTGCTTTCAGATCCTTCCGTGCGGGCAAGGCGCTGACTGGCAGGTCGGGAGCTTGCACGCTGCCGTCATGCAATGTAGAAGTCAGGATGCATGGCAGCCCCACCTCTCGGGATGCCTGTGTGTCCATAGTGCCTCCCTGGCAGCCAGCGCTGTCGTTGTTGCACCGTCAGGCCCCCCTCATTGTGCTCAGGACTCCTTGCCCCAGGTCGTCCTAGCCCCTCCCACTCCCAGCTGCCTTCTTGAAACAGTTTGAAACTCATATAGCTCGACGTGGATAGGTTTGTAGACCAGCAAATGGGGAGGTCTGGTCTGCAGATGGATCTTGCTCTACCCCCAAATGCATGCTGCAGCACAACGCCCAGAACTGGGATTCGCTCGGATTCCCCTTATGGCACGATAATAACACAGCACTCGTTATTATAGCAGATCCGAGGGCAAAACTGGCATGGCAAGGGGTAATGGGCGACAGATCATATAACTCTTCAAGGACATCAACTCTCTGGCAGCTGCAAGGAAAGCGGTTCACACCGTGGCCTGACAAGGTGGGGTGCTAGCAGCAGCGGCGCACCAGCTCACGCCGCCGAGGCCAGGAACACTTGGCGTCCATTGGTCGGTTGCAGGGCACGGTTGTTGGTCCTGCTGCCGTGCGTGGTGGTGCAGTCTGCTGCGGTCACTCCACATCCACTGTCTTCATCTGGGGAGCATGTGAGCTCGCGCTCCTCGGGATGCGAGGCCAACGCCGATTGCAGGGCCTCCAGCTGTGGCACCGACAGACCCTCCATGGGATCGGTGAAGACATGCCAGCTCACGCCTTCCCAGCAAGGCGGCGCCGTGAGTGATCCCTGGTACCAGGCATAGCTCGAGTTGGAGGGTATGAGCGTGTTCAGGTCAAAGGTGGTGTCCAAGAATGTCGCGTCCTGCGATATGGCGTGGGCACAAGTGATAGGGAGGCCAGGGAGAGTGGATTCCTTTCTGCATGGGTCAGGGTCGTCCAGAGGTCCCCTTTCACCCAGATCTGAACGCAGGGGTCCCCTCTCACGAATCCTCACCTGTGCGACTACGTCATCCTGGGAGGGAAGACTTTCTACGATGCCCTCCATGAAAGGCACAGTTCCTGTGAAGACATCGTCTGCGTTATACTCAAACGTGACGCCGAACACAGCCAGGCAGGTGTTTTTCTGGCAGTACCTTGGCACCGGTGCGTCCGTCTCGTTGTCCACCTTCGTGACCAGGTGCAGCTCCAAGGGGCACATGAAGCCGTCCACTATGTGTTCGCATGTAGAATGCCAATGGAACTGGAAAGGTTTGACGGGAACGGAGGAGATGTTCTCCGCGTCGGACCCCCACATGCCGTTCGTGGGGATCACGGTTTGGCTGCCCTCGAGGTCGTCCCATTCCACCTGTGAGAGGTGGAGTGAGGACTAAGGGTGGGGCCTGATAAATCCGTCTGGAGCAAAATATTCGGCTTCAAAGCCCTTCCTGGCCCCAATGGCCCTGCCCGATGTCAAGCATGGGAGGGCCCCATACTCGCCGTCCGCAAGGTCGACTATGCTCGGATCAGACGGATAGAGGAACCGGCGGGGACCGGATAAGACCCAGCCTACACATCACCAAAAGGTAACGACGCACCTGGATTGCGGTCCTGATGTTGAATACGCGGAGTCCCTTTGCCTTGCCAAACTCGAACGAGATTGGGGGGCCGGCAAATGGGGCAGCAGCAGTCAGCTGGATGGCAATCGGGGACTGTGCCCTGCCCTCCTTGCAGGTCCCGGGCCAGTCGGCGCCGTTGAGGTCATAGTTCCAGGCGGAGGTGTCGGACTCCTGTGAGGTTCATGAGGGCAGTCGGGGAGGATCGGAAGCAGTGAACCAGGAGCATGGCGAGGGGGGCATGTGACCTGCCGGAGATGAAACTTATCCAGTCCTTATCCAGCCCTCGACGCATGGCGCGTAGGCAAAGGCTATCAAATGAAGAGAGTGTGGCATGGAGTGGATTCGAGACAACGAGCTACGCCGAACGCCGGCCTGCTGCCCCCGCTAACCTCAGCGATGCGCCTGCCCTTATGGAAGTGCTGCTGACCGCAGCCGGCGGTCAGCGGTAGGACATGGCCCAGCGCAAAGGCAATACATAGGATGATGCATGAGAGTACCATGATGCCAACTCAAGGTCACCGGGCTGACTTCTGTGAACCCGGAAAGACTTTGCAAGTCTTATGTGCCGAGCCATCACCTCGCATGTTCCAAGAAAATCAGCGCAGCTGACGTGAATCATCAGCGCGCAATATGCCATGCAGCGAGTCATGTCGTGAGGCGCCCCACCGCTGAAGCTGATGACGCTATGCCTAATTTTGTTCCAACAGAACAGTCTCATGACTTCCCTAGGTGTCAATTCTACAGGCCACGGCACAGGGTTGCCACGTCGGCCCGCAAGATGGGATTGCCGGTTCCCGCCGTTTTATCGTTCCCCCCAGAATGCAATTGGATCCTTCATGCGCCGAGTAGCACCTAAGACCATGGGATGCAGTCTCAAGAGATGAAATTGGTTGTCGAGATGGAAGTCAAGTTGGGCTGTGGGTCAGCAGTGTGCATCGTCGGCACCTCATCGTCTCCTTCGCGTAGCGGCAGGCGGGCACTCGGCCCACACCGCGGGAGAAGCGGGGTTACTAGGCCACATTTTGGGGGAGCCCCGGTTTTCGTTTTCGGGCCCTTTTTGCTCCCTCTTGCCCAATCTCGTG